GTGGCAGCCGACCAATGATGTCAAACTGCTAGTAGTACAGTAGCAGTAGCATAATATCTGATTCAATCTTCCAACTCGTGCCAATCCTAGGGTCCCGGTTCTGGATGTCATGAATTCTCTATTCGTGTCTGATGGGCCGCTCTTTTTGTCTTGGTACGGTGCTTGCCTGGAACAAGACCAGGCCTTAGGTCCAGGCCCTTTCTCTTCTGCATGCTGCTGCCGCAATGCCTGGAAGCTACACTGTCGCTTTTAGCACTCTGATCTCGCTGTCTAGTGATCCAAGCTCGGCAGCTCTGCCTTCTCCCTGCGAACGAGCTCCTGCACGAGCTCTCAAGATGAGCGGAGACATCTTTCTCTTACACAAAGCAGAACACAAAGCCAACATGGCAACCTCCGAAATCCAAAAGAGACCTCTGGCAGCCCCTCTCATCCCTCTCCGAGACCTTTCAAGACACTCCGCTCTATTTCAACCAGTCCTGCACTTTCTTCTGAAGCTTCTCGTGGGTGTCACGTTCCGAGGTGGCCGCCCCCTGTTAAAGTGGGCCAATCACGTGATGAGCTGATGCCAACAGAAAAAGGAAGGATCCAGGGTTATGTTGGGCGATGGCAGCCATACATGGCCAACCATCAAATAGTTCTTTTTTGAAAAAAACAAGTGGTAAAAAAAAGCAAAATAACAGCAAATGAACATGCAAAAAACAAAGCAAAAACAAAGCAAAAAGCAAAAACAAAGCAAAACAAAAGCAACTAACAAAGCAAAAACAAAGCGCAATAATAGGCAAAAAAAAATGCCAAAGGTAAAGCAAACAAAAAAGCAAAAAATGTAGCTGTGCGTATTTGTCGCTTTATTTTCACTTGTGTTTCGCTTTATTTTCGCATTTTGTTCGCTTTATTTTCGCATGTTTTCGCTTTTTTTCCTAGGAGGGTACAGCAAAAACAAAAGCGAAAAAAGGCTGTAACCTCCTAGGAGAAAAAAGCGAAAGAAAGCGAACCAAATGCGAAAATAACGCGAAACAAATGCGAAAATAAAGCGAAAAAAAAGCGACTAATACGCACAGCTACATGTTTTTGCTTTTTTGTTTGCTTTGCATTTTGCTTTCTTTATTTGTGTTTCCTTTGTTTTTGCTTTATAAAACTATTTTGGCTCCTTGTATCTGTGGCTGGCGTGCCCGACATACAGTAAATCCAGGACAGGTAATCAAAGAAGCAAGGTCCCATCAGGTCTAGTGCATGGCATGGAGAACATATGAGAAAACATCAATTATATAATACATTTACGGTATTTACACTTGAACCTTGAGCTTTTCAAAGCACTGAGGTCCAAGCTTTCAGCGCCCTGGCCTCCTTTCGCCAGGCAACCGCCTGCCCATGACATCATGGCTGTGACTCTCATGACTGTTCATATCAACTTGCCACAACCCAGTTGTATAACCTGGTGCACCAGCAATGGCCTTGCGAAATTCATCCTGAAGTTGAAGCTCACTTGCAGAAGCCATCCAGCAACACAAGGGATGAAAAAGGCATAACGCTGCAAATGAAAGCGTGCAATGATGGTGTCCTGTGCTTTTTGAAAAAGCTCCTCCAATCCTTGGACTGACTTTGGGAGATCAGGCGATTGAGCACTGGAGATAAGAAACAAAGGCAGCTACAAAGGCACGATCTCGAACAACTGAACAATCCACAGCACAACCACACAACTTTTCCTGAGATTGGATCGTCGTTTTTGTACATTGGCCTGCCCAACCATGCCCAATATATAGGTTCTATACAACCAGTCTCCAGTGTGCTACATTGCGCTGCACGCCTCTTTACGAAGCTCTTGTCTTGAGATTTGGAGAAGCCCTTCCTGGCTGAGCACACTGACCCAACACTCGTTTGAGGCAGTGAGTCGTTGGCTTTGGGGGACCGACGACCTCTGCTCGAAGGCTTGCCTGGAACTGATTCTTGCAGGCACACTGCTCTAAAGCTCACCAAACAACGGTTGGGAAAAAGAATCTGTGCTGGCTGTCATTGACCCGCAGCACACCAACAAGAAGCCTTGGCGGCACCAACCTCAGTCCCAAGCAAAGTGTATCATTTTTGTACACTTGCTTGCTCAGAGCTTGATCGTAAGTGCCAGGCAGCCTGTGCTACAAAGCACTCGCTCCGGTGCCTTCACGGAGATATATTCCGGTGACACCCTACTGCTCTTGAAATGTCTTGACCGATCTTGGTGCAAGAGGGGGACACTTCTTTTTCTTTGTCCATAATGCGCTCGCTCTTGGCCTTAGTACAAGCGCGTCGTCTCCTTCTTCGAGCTCCAAAAAAGTTGTGAAGGACCCCAAGACGGCGGCCTTCACCAGTTGGTAGATCGTCGCCTCCAGAGGAGGGCAAATCTCTCATACCACCGTCGGGCCGCATGTTTTTACAACCCTCCCCGCGAAGCGCTTCGGCGCCAAAGCACAGTCGCAAGTCTGACAAGCAATCTGGCCCCACCAGCTCATTGGCCACCAAACTGTCAGCAGCGTCACCCCAAGCCTCTACAAGTTTACATGCAACTTTCTCTGAGACTTCCTAAAATGTGTCTTTCTACCCACCTCTTACACCAAGACCGTCACTCCGCTGCTCGGACTTTTACTTTGCCAATATGAAGGTGTGGCCTCCATTAAACCGTAAAGACTGTGGGAGGCGCTTCACGCGGCGCTAGGGAAGATGCTGCGGCCCAAATGCGGCTCGCTGCCGCATGGATCTGTGCTTGTGCCAAATCCCACTTCTGGGCGTCCATGGCCTCATCGATTCCTGGAAGTGTCTTTGGAGCGTAGCCTGTGTAAAGCCCTGGTGCTTGTAGGCAGTGCCGAAACCATTTGCGCCCGGGCAGGCCATCTGGCAACAGGAACGATCTCTCAAGAAGGCCCAAGCGTTCATTCAAAGCTGTGACTTCCTCCGGTGGGGCCTGGGGGCCCATTCGACTCAATCGGTGGACCTCAGCCATGGCACGGGCGGCAGCAGATTTGAACGCAAGACTCGCATCCTCCAAGGCGGTAAAGTCAAGTGGGACGGATCTGTTTCCTTTGACACGTGAAATGTATCCAGCAATCGCCTCAGCCTGGATGCTGAGATTCAATGGAAGTGGTGCTTCCACATTGCTCCCGGACAAGCGCAAGGCGATTAAACCCCAGACTTGCGCCATAGCAACGTGATAAGTAAAGTTGGGGTCTCCTTCTGTGGCCATCCAGGTGAAGGAGTCATAGACCGAATGGTAGACTCCGTATTGAGCATCCTTGGGGGAAAATGCAATATCAAGCGACGGAATGCCAAGGTGGTCAATGAAAATTGTGTAGTCGGAGCCTGAGCCGAGGGAAAACAACTTGCCACCCCAGTGCTCCGAAAGAGGCTTTCCAGAATCTGGATGTGGGACATGACCAAGAACCTCTGCAAGAAGCTGTGCCAGTGATGGAGTTCCAGCTGCTCGAAAGTGTTGTCCCGACACCCCGGTGTCAACATTCACATAGGCCAAGGCTCGGCGCAAAAGGTCATCCTGTACTTCGCCCCAGGCAGTGGAACCTAACAACCCGTATTCTTCCCCACTCCATGAGCACAAATATATGGTCCTGAAAAGAGACAGGAATATTGAAAGGGAACACCATGCCACAATACCGTTCCTGAAGATTGCAACCCTTTCAAACATCACTCTAGAATGTACGTAGCTACACACACACACAATCACACACACACACGCACATGTTATCTGAGTCTTGCGCCGGATCTTTTCGGTCCAGACTGAACCCACCAAAACCCGTCCTAAGAGGCTTCCAACCCTCGCGCAAGAGCTTGCCAAGTCCACGGACGACCTCCAAGAGCTGGGCAGTTCCACTGTTCGGATCGGCTGCTCCATAGACCCAGGCATCTCGATGGTTCCCGAGAACGACGGGTTGATCGAGATCCATTGGTAAGGTGCCAGGGATCTTTCCGATGACGTTCCAAACGGGTGATGATTGAAAGCGGTTCTCAACTTTCACCCTCACCTTGTACTGGTCTTTTGTTGGGCCAAATCTGTAGGTAATGTTCAGTGCTCCCCGGAAATCGTTTGGCGCTACTTTGCCCCCTAAGGACTCCAAGAACACCAAAGCATCTCCATAAGAGATGGGCAAGACCGGAATTTGAGGAATGAGCTCTTTCGCACTAAGGCCACAAAGGGTCTCCACATCCATGCCGTGCGGGAAGTATGCCCTGGTTGGATCTCCTGCACATAGAGATATAAATTGGATGGAGCCACGCTGTACACTGCTCTTTGGGCGCCACGGCCCATATGGGTAGACACTGCCTTTTGCATAGCCATCTTGTTCCGGATCAGAATAGATGATCGCCGCACGAGCGCCAGCTTTCTGGGCGTTCATCGCCTTCAAACCACGAAAACACTTGCCATAGCGCATCAGAACGATGCTGCCATTCACATTCACTCCAGCTGCCTGGAGTGCCTCAAAATCCTCTGGCAAACCAAAGTTGGCATAGACAATAGATGCCAGAACATCTCCAGATGGTGAGTAGCCATTGAAGGTGTGGTTTCTCCACCATGTGTGTGATGTTGGATCTGACTCTAGCGTGTCCTCTGCCAGAGATGCTTTAGCAACCAGTTGTCCAGAGTTGTCGTGGAGCTCCAAAGCACTGCTGACAGGATAGGTCAACAAGACCTTTTGCGGATCTAGCCGAGCCTCAACTCCTTCTCTCTCGAAGGATTCCTTCACATACTGAGCCATGTCTAAATCTCCAGCAGTGCCTGCTACGTGCGGCTTGCTTGTAATGAATTTCAGTGATGCACGCGCGGAGGCATTTGATGGCACGGCTAAGAAGGCAGCCTCTTCCCAGGTGAGAGCCTTGTTGGACCTGTGACGCAAGACTTCCGAGTCAAGTTGATGATACGATGACGTGTCGTCCAACGTGCATCCGTGGCCAAGCCGCCAGAAGCAAAGCATGGCCACCATGGCCTTCGCCATGGCCCTCGCCCCAAGCGCCCCCTTCATGGCCTCAAGCGTGGCGTGTACTTGTGAAAGTTCTGCAGCACGCAACGAGATTTCTTCGGACCCCTCCTCAACTTCAGATAAAGGGTACGCGACTGGGTGGCAAAACGAGAAGACATTGCACACTGCGCCGCGCTTGCTTTCTTGCCAGTGGCATCTTCTGATATTTGATATTTGGAGTCCTCTCTTTGGATGCTGAACTCAGAGCTACACTGAATGCTATATACAATTTCAGGATTCCCCTGGAAGTGAGACTGGATTGTTTTGCTTTTGCAGGGCAACTGAGGATGCAAAGGGCTGGCGTTAAAACATGTTAAAACCAGCTCTCCGCAGATTCGTCAATCAAACATGAAGCTCTACACACGCTCATCTGCACAAGAATGTCTCCAGCGTCTGTAGACAGAAGCCACTCAGAAGTAGCCAGATTCGGATGATTTGCGAACCACTGGACCTGCCCTGGCTTGAGCTTGTCCTTGCAGCATATCGCAACTGATTCTGCATGTCTCCACATCTAGTAGCTCCCATGCCCATGTGTTTCCAGTGAAGGCTTGGATGCATCTAGCATGGAGGTTCATGGCCCATTATGGGCCAATTTGCAGTGCAGTGGCTGTGGATCTCATTCTTGTACTGGACAAAGGCTTTCTTGAGAATACCCGTTTCACCTGGGAATGCTGGAGCTAGGTAACACTGGAGCACTGCTTTCAGAAGCCAAGGCACCAGTGTCCAGGTTCCTGACCAAGAACCTGGGGTAAAATATTGAAGAAACGAGATGCAGCAATCCAGTCTTGCGAAAGTTTGCCACGAAAAGCTGGTGTCGAAACATGGCAGGCGAACTGAATGAGAGCAAAGGATTCTTCCCTTTACATGAATGTGAGGCCACGGAAACCAACGGGACACCCACAAATGCCCACACAAACAAGAACCCTACATGGCCATGTATGCAGAAACAGTTGCAATCTCTATTACCATACTGTCAGGCAAAGCCAACTACAGCCACCAAGCTACGGCAGAACGTTGCCTTCATTGCGCTCCTCTGCTGGGCCTATGTCGCCCTGGAAAGCTGCCTGGGAGAATGCTGCTTGCATTGTGCTTTGCTCTTCACTGTTCCAATGTGAGAGTCATGACACGTCGCCAGAGTTTGTGCCGCCAAGAATCCCCGCTTCCTCCTGTCGACACATGGGAGCAGTTTGAGGCAATCAGTCTGAGGTCGACGCAGTGTATCGTCATGAAGACTCAGCTTGCAAAAGAAATAAACTATATTATATACATGAAAAAACACACACACACACTTCGAACTTCGAACTTGGGTTTTCAGTTAGACTCAATTGCCACGATGGGAAGGAAGGTGATGGAACAGCAAGGCGAAAGGGTCCGGTGACTTGTATTGT